TTTTAGCCACTGTATAGAGTTTATTTGAGATTTCAATTAAAAAACTTTAGTGAAAATCCTTAGGATAGTGTTTATGGTTGATTGTATGCTGACTGTATTTCTTTTTCTGCTCAAGAAAAACTAGAAGATGGATATTTGAGCCATTATTGGGTCAGGCCAACAATGGACCAAGGCACTCAGAGTGTTTATGGCTTCAAGATGTTCCAGAGAGAAAAAGAATCAAAGAACTGATTAAATTAGGTATCCAAAAATGAAAAGACCTTCAATTTTAAGATGCGTTTTTGAAACAGTAGGATGAGAGGCAAAAGTTTGCCCAGGGAAGAGTAACACAGGCCAAAGTCAGGCTGTTCTGGAAAGTCTTCAGGCAGTGCAGTGAGGCAGCTGGGCTGTTCCAAGTTAAGGCACATAGGAAAAGAACTACAGGTTCTTTTGCCTCTTCAACAGGTTCAGAGCCAAGGCACATAATTATGTAATGTTCAACTGAAACATTTTTAACTGTAAACACTGCAGTACATGGTCTACCTAAATCCAAGAAGGGAAATTGCATTTCAAAATAACTGTTTTGAATTAACTAGATAAGGACCGTGCCACTTCAGAGGTTAGCATTCACCAATGCTGCAAGTCATTCACTTTAAACAGGAAAGGAGCTAAACCTGACTCAAGCTGGAAACATGATTTCTCCCAGGATGGCTGATTATCACTTTTCCTGGTGAAGTGAACTGATTGATTCACAATGGGAACAGCATTTTCCATTTCCCTCCCTCAAGAGTTTTAATGATGGTCAGGAGTCAACAGGATGAACTATGCCAGAATTCCCCAAGAAGAGAAGATCAAGGTGATTGCATGTGCCCCTCCACACCCCACAGCTCAGAAGGGCAGCACCATTATAACTGTACTGTGGGAAAACTGTAATTACTCATTTAATTTTCTGTCTTTTTCCAGTAGAGGCTAAGCTTCTGAGGAGCAGAATTATATTGTTGGCCATTATAACCCTATAATGGCTGGCAAGGAGGGGTTTTTTTTTTTTGGTAAATGAGTTTGTACTTAAGTGGATGAAGAAACAGAGGGATGAACAGTTGATTGAGTAGATGGATGGATGAATCCTGCATTAAAGAAAAGTCACAGCTTTAAGGAAATGGAGCTCAAGGAAATAGAGGAAGAGATGGATTGACTTGGGGCCAAAGGAGTCACAAAGGAGAGATTAATTCTAGAATCATTGGGAAGAAAACAATTTGGATCCCTTTTTTCTAGTTTCTTCTAAGCCATTTTCTCAAGGGGCCCATCTGTAGCTCCAATAGAGAAGGCTGCTACTGGATAAACAAGGCTCTCTTATAGGGCTCAAGAATAAGAGGCCAACAAGGGGTGGGGATGAGGGAGATGATGACAGTGTGTGTGAGGAATAAAAACAAAGTACAGGGGCTGGAGAGATGGCTCAGCGGTTAAGAGCACTGACTGCTCTTGCAGGGGACCTGGGTTCAATTCCCAGCACCCACATGGTAGCTAACAGCCATCCATAACTCCAGTTCTGGGGGAATCCAACGCCTTCTTCTGACCTCTGAGGGCATTGCACAACATGGGTGCACTTACACACATGCAGGCTGCTCATAAACATAAAATAAAAATTTTTTATAAAAGAACAAAGTACAATGATTTTCATATACAACTACCTATAAATTTCACAATGAAATTCATTTCTCTGTATGATAAGGACAAAAATCTTCTTTTTTAATTTTTTATTTATTATTTTTATTTCATGTGTATGAGTGTATTGCCTGCATGTATGTGAGTGCACCTGTGTCGTGCAATGCCGCGGAGGTCAGAAGAGGGCTTCAGATTCCCCTGGAACTGGAGTTAAGGACGGTTCATAGAGATGGCTCAGGGGTTAAAAGCACTGACTGCTCTTGCAGAGGACCTGGGTTTGAGTCCTAGCACCCACAAAAGTCTTTTTTAAAAGAGCTCAAACACTTTTTGAGAGGGACAGAAGGCCTATGTACCTCATTTCTGTCCTTACAGTAGCAAGCAGCCTGTTAGGGCAGGAGAGACGGTTTAGCAGTTAAGAGTTTCTTGCTGCTCTTCCAGAGAACTTGGGTTCTTTTCCCAGCACCCATATCAGCTAGCTCACAACTGTCTGGTACTTCAGCACCAGAAGATCCAACACCTTCTTCTGGCTTCCAAAGATACTGCACAATGTGACAGACGCATACATGCATACACATAACTAAAATAAAACCTTTTTTTAATAAAAAGGGGGCTTCACCTTCCTGAGGCAGTCATGGTTATGCATTTCTTGGGCCACTGCATGGCCATCATGATGAGAAACTCAGAATGACCACTTCCCAAAGGGATGGGCCCTGGGGGAAGGAGGTAGAGGAACATTGGGAGTGGAGACAGCATGAGCTTATTTTCAGGTTTTGGGGAGGCAGTGGAGTGTCAGGGGACCACATTCAGTAGCTAATGGTTTGATCATGCCAGCAGTCATGAGACTCCATGAGTGTAGATTCTTTTGCCTTGAAGGCACCTCAAAGGTGAGACTGACAGGATTGCATCATCAAACAGTGCTCCATCAGTGCCTTCAAGAAACGGAGAAAGAGCCCCTGGTAAAATCATGAAGAGCAAGAGAGGACACCTCCAGGGACAGCTTGCTTGTTGATCTGTAGAGGAGCTAGGAGCTGAAAGAGCTGGTTTAGGTTAGAACGCATTTCCCTTCCCTGAGTAATGTTGACCCAAGAGCCTTTGAAAGAGGTTACACTGTAGGACAGTCACAAGAGATCACAGTCTTTGCTATTCTACTGGCCAGTGAAGCTTGAGAATGCAGGCAGGCTCTCAGTCAACTGCATGGAAAACAACTCCAGGGCTCCCTTGCACAGGGCATACTCTAGTACGTGATTATACTGGCACATCAGGCTCCAAGCTTGTCATTCATATACTTGCCTAAATGGAGCCTGTTGGGGTCCAGAAGCCTGTTTACTATATTCCAGGGAAGCTTGACCTTGTTGAAGATTATTCTACCATAGTTACCTCTACCTGTTAAGGAAGTAACAGTGCATCGTGTTAAAAGTGGGAATTTCAGTGGCTAGTGAGATGGCTCAGTGAGTAAAGGTGCTTGTCACCAAGCCTGACTGAATTTGATCCCTGGGACCTACATAGTACAGTGAGAGAAATAACTCCTGCAAGTTGTTTTTGACCTCCACACACACCACAGCACATACAAACACACTCACAACATAAATAAACATTTTTTAAAAGTGGGAATTTCAGAGCCACAAGCCAGTGTTTCAATTGTAACTCGGTTTCTTTTTGCCTTAAGACTTTGAGTAAGTTTCTTCACCCTTCCAAGACTCTATCTCCTCAAGTGTGGAAGGGGAAAATAACACCTATCTCATAGAATTGTTCAGAAGACTAATTTAAATAATCCTGGCTGGAGAGATGGTTCAGTGGTTAAGAGCACTGGCTATTCTTCCAGAGGGTCCCAATTTGATTTCTAAAACCCATATGGCAGCTAACAACCATCCATAACTCCAGTTCCAGGGGAATCCAATGCCATTTTCCGACCTCTGTGGGCATTGCATGTTCATGGTACATTTAGATCTATGTAAGCAAAACACTCATAAACATAAAATAAAATTTAAAAAATATAAAATAAATAATCCCAATAAATGCTAGTGCACAAGTACTCAAAGAATATTACCACACATACATATATATCAGGTTTGAATTATAAAATATGGATCCTATCGTATTTGGCCAAGGATATGCAGATTTCTTGCTTAATTGCCGGTAGAACAGTGATTTGTTATGGGGCAATGACTGGGGAAGATGAACTGGAACACAAATCAATAGCATTCACTATAGCTCATTCTGTTTTTAGCAAGAGCCTTTGTGAAACCTCTGACATTTTTATGGAACATAGTTTGAAACTGTAGCACCGTTGGACCCAAATTAAAGGCTTTGTGTCTTAACATGGTTCTAGTGAGTTCCAGCATGTCACTCTGGCCCACACATACTAAAGTAACCACAGGTAACTGTATTAGTTACTTTCGCATACTTTTCTCATCACTGTGATGAAGTAATTGACATAGCAACCTGAGGGAGGAGAGGTTTATGTTGGTTACAGTTTTCAGGGAACAGTATTTTGGGGTGGAAAAGCCTAATGACCTAAACAGTTGGTTACGGGGTGGTGAGAGCTTGTGGCTCAGCTTGTTCACATCTTGCCAGATCAGTAAATGGAATTAGATTAGAACTGGGGTTGGGTTATAACTTTCAAAAGCCCAGTCCTGGTGCCTACTTCTTTCTCTTAAGCTTCATCTATTTTTTCATATTTTATTTAAAAATTTTAGTAGTATTTTTATTCTTTGGAAAGGTCCATGCTTTTATACAATGCATATTGATTATCTCCATACACCATACCTCCCTCCAAATCCCCATAGTGCCCCACCCTATCTTCCTCCCAACTTCATGTCCTTTGTTTTATTATTATTAGCCTTTTGAATTCAATTAGTGCAGCATATGTGCACAGACGTGTAGCCATCCACTGGGGCATGAGAGCCATGTCCCCAAAAGAGAGTAACTTTCTCTCCCTCAGCAACTATCAGTTCCTCAGATAGGGACAGGGTCTTGGGAGATCCTCCCCCATCCATGATAGAATTTTGACTGTTTTGATCTTGTGCGGGTTTTGTGCGGGCAACCACAGTTGCTGTGAGTTGATGGGTTCAGCAGTCATGCTGTTTCCAGAAGTCAGCATTTCACAGCTTTCCACTCCAGCCACTGACTCTTACATTCTAACCACCTGAACCTTGGATGGCGAGAGGTTGATATCGATGCTCCCTCCACAGCTGAGCACCCAAAGTTATTTATAGGCCTTATCTCTTAAAGGTTCCACCACCTCCCAAACCAGCAGCACCAGCTTGGGGACCACATGTTCAAACTTGTGACCCTATAAGGCACATTTCACATTCAAATCCTAACTATTGCTGTGACGAAAAATACATGACAGAAACAACTCAAGGGAGAGAAAGTTTATTTTGGCTCATGAGAATTTCAGTCTGTAATGGCTGGGAAGGAACAGCAGTAGAGCAATCCATGGCAGCAGAACTCTGTGGTGAGGATGAACATCACGGCATACAGTAAGAGTCTGAGACCATAAACAGGAGCCACGCTATAAACTTCAAAGGCCCACCAGTAGGTGGCTCGGTCAGTAAAGTGCTTCTTTTATAAGCATGAGGACTTGAGTTCCACCCTCAGAACCCACACTTGTAATCCCAGTGCTGGGGCACAGAGACAGGTAAATCCCTGAACTCACTGGTCGGTCAGCCTCATTTTCTTGGCAAGTTCCAAGTCAGCAGGAAACCCTGTGTCAAAAAAGAAAGGGGCTGGAGAGATGCCACCACAGCTAGTTCTATGGACCATTTTGGTACTTTCTTGGTCTTACATGGGCATCACTTCATTGCCTGGACTGGTTATTTGGCACTCAGTGCCTCTCAGTCCACATTTAGAAACTGAGTTATTTCCACTTGTTGGCTCTTAACCCAGAGGAATGCAGAAAGGACTAATGGCAGGCTACGTGCAAAGTGCTTTGGGCTGTAAACCAGGACTAACTGAACTTTCAGAGAACACCATGACTTGGCAGTGGTATTTAAAGGGACAGAGGTGGTAGAATATTCTCATGCCTTTCTTAGATATTCTTGGTTCAAATACCAGATCATCCTTGAGTACCACAGCAGTTGGTCTACTGTGGCTGTCCAAATTATTTTCCAGATATACCAAGCATCTCCAGGGAAGGATGTCTGTCTGGTAGAACTGGGAGATGCTATATTGTCTTGGACTCTTCAAACATTTAGCAATAAGAATTCCTAATTCAAAGTAAGGATCTTCAAGCCAAGATTTTGAAAGCAGCCCCTTATCAAAGGAAAAAAATGATTAAAAGAACTGGGCCTTCTCCAAGGAAATCTTTAACCTAATAGTAAGTGCCATACTTTAGTATTTAATTTTATCGCTAGTAATCTAACCAATAACACCTAGGGCAAAGCCAATTGCAAAGTTTTTAAGAAACGTAATGTTTTCAGAGGTAAGAGGATGTCTGAAACACATGGAGTGGGGGAAGGAATCTCAGCTGTAGCTGTGACCGAAGACTAGTGGAGACAAAAAGAAGCAGAAAGGAGACTATGTCTGTTTAATCACACTCATACGATATAATGGAATTTCCCTCCCATGTTTTCCAGCATGGGAATATTAGTTACTAATCTAAGTCTTCAAATAAAGCAAAAAGCTAAAGACTGATCACAGATGTCCAACTCAATCATTTAACCTTGTGTTCACGTTCCAGGGAACAGGATCATAAATGGGAGCAGTCATGCTTCCCTAGGTCTGAGAAAGGAAACCCAGGCTTGTGGGCTAATAAGTAAACAGTCAGCAGGAGCCGAGGTGAATATTCAAGATCAGAAATAGGGCAGATGAAAGTCATTTACAGGAAGAGTTGAGAGAGGAAGAAAGAAACCAGACAAATAAAAAGAAGGTGGTAGGTGGTCAAGACCAGACAGTACCAAGAACCACAAATTTCAAATAAGGAAAACAGCAGGTGCTGTGATTCAAGCAATTTCAAATAAAAGCTAGGACAAGTTTCAGCAAAGTTTAAATGTGAAAAATTACAGGCATGAGCCACCACACCCAGCTCTAACAGTGGGATTGAAAAAAAAATTATTCTTTGACAGCTTCTTACATGTGTATAATACATCCTTGTTACACTCAAACTCTACCCTGTTTTATCTCCTTTCCCACCTCAAAACCCCCTCCAATAAATCCCTTTCCCTCTATCACGTGCGCTTGTTTCATTTTTTTGTTTTTGGTTTGTGACCCTAACCATGGAAATATGAGAAAAAGGCCATTTAGCAAAAATGGTACTGTGATATTTCACTATGTCTAGTCTTTGCCATGGTCACTGCAGGCCTGCTTTTTAAGAACTGAGGAGGCCCGCAGTCATTCTCAGCCATTTCATATGGAAATGCTCGTGCCTTTGCTGAGAACAAGCATGGTGGGGCTGGGTGCTTCAGGCTTTTGTGCCAGCACTTATTCACAGGGGCCATGGATGGCTTCCTTGCTCACACTCCTAGCACTGCCCCGCCCAGCCCTGACTCAATGAAGGAAGGGTGCGGTAAGTACACAGAGTTTTGACAATGCTCTAGTTTTTTGCACCCTAAATATTTTGTAAGACAGTTGAGTAATATTTTAGAAAGACTGGGCCTAAGCTGGTAGAGGGACAGAGATAAAAAACATGCTATTCCATGTGGGAAGGTTGTGTTCACCGTGCCTGTAAGTAATGCAGAAACAGCGATGTAGAAACACAGGCTGTTTCAGACCCGCTCCAAACTCATCAGATATTTGAAAACTTAGTTTTACGAAAACCAACCCATGCAGCTTCCACACAGGCATTCTGGGGCCTGCAGGCAGCTGTTTCCTCCATTTGGAATAGCTGCACTTCTCACTTAAGCCTTCATTTTCCTCTGATTCCTCTCCGGCCCTCTCCACACCCCACTTCCTGTGTTAAGTCTCTCCCGGTTGTCCAACCTGCAGCCATCCGTTTCTTCTTTGGCCTCCTACAGCAGGCGCTGGGAATTGTACTGACGAGAGCTCCTCACCCCCAGCCACCCAGCTTTGCAGTTCATCTTCAACCTTTGGTGCATCCGCCCACAGACAACGACCAGCTATTACAGTGGGGCGGCGTAGGTCTGCCTGCCTCATGTGCCTGTTTGTTAATTTTTGAACTCACATGAAGAGTTCCATGGTTAATACTTTTGAAATGAAGATAAATCCTTAATGTATAATTGTTTTTGAGTAGCATAGATTTTGCTCGGGAGCATCAGAAACAGCACTTGGCAGACACAGAGGCGAAGGAGGAGCATAACTGAGGCGCACCGGACTGTTCACACGGTCCTAAACCCACACAGTGTCATCAAACCCTCTTGTCTACTTGGAAATTTCCTGGGTTTAGCAGTGAAACTCCTGTGCCTGGGCAGCTCTAAGGCTCAGGCAGGCCAGGAAGGTTGTTCATCTGACAAGGCAATCATTGAGAATCTTTGATAAGTAGCAAAGGCAGGTTTTAGGCAATGGCCTGGGGCCTCTGTCTCCCCAAGGAGAGTCTATTCTTTGATAACAAGTGCAAGTGCAGACAGTCCTGCTGGGTGTCAAGCAGGGCCCTATTTTTATCAAACTCGCCCTACTTCAGAAGCCTTCTCAGGTTTAGGAGGACAAACAGTCAAGGGAAAAGGCTTGTAGCAGAGTTCTCACAAAACAGAAACTAAAAGGAATATTCTGAACTGGAAGCAGTGACCTTTCTGGCATTATTCCCCTAAAGGAGAGCCAAAAGCATGGCCTCAGGAAGGCAAATGTTCAGCACCCACAGGAACACTGACTTCCAGGGAACATTCCATACAGGCCCCCTCATTGTGCAGGGGGGAGAGGGGGGCATCTGTTTTGATCATGATCTGTGCAACTGAGCAGCCCAAGCTCTAGAACTAAGTGGTTACATGGGCCGGAAGACTAGAGATCCTAGCCGTGGATACAATGTTGAAGCAGGAAGCAGAGTGGAGTCACAATATGAACATCAAAAATCTCACATCAGGGCCAGAGAGACAGCTCCGCAGGTAAAGGCATTTGCTGTCAAATCTGACAACCCGAGTTCCACCCCCAGGACCCACATGATGGAGAAAAGCAACTCTTACAAGTTAGCATCCACACAGGCACATACAGACACACACACCACAAATGTACTGTAAAAAGATAAAACAAAAATCCCACATCATTTTGAAAAGTCAAATAGGCCTGAAATCAACACAGCCATAAGCAAAACATGGCTAACAATGGCACACAGAAGCCAATTAGAGCTTTAGAGCCTGTGTCACAGCAAGGAAATTTCCCCATAACAAAATCATAGAACAAATTTTAGAATTTGAATCTGCATATGCATAGCATAACAACTCAGAACCAAAAAGCTTCTAATCCAGAAATGGATATTCTAATGCTTGTACCTCTGAATATTATTCAAGGGGGAGGCCAGGTTTATTTCTCTGTGATTAAGGGTGGGCATGTGTAACTTAGCACAAGTGCCTGCATGCCAAAATTGAGGGGGTTCAGTGCAGCCATCGAGTTTTGCCACCAGAGGGTATTTCTTCCTCTTTGGGATCACTGGCAGGTTTATGTAACCACGAGTAGTCCTTACAGCCCCATGAAAAATGCCAGGCCAGATCCTAGCAAAATGGGTTTTCATTATTTCCACAAATTTCCTCTTGCCCTTCTATTTTAGAGCATTGTTTTCTTTCAATTGAATCACGCTGGCAGCAAGCCAACCTACACAAACTGTGGAAATCAGATTACACCCCTCCTACTGATTAAAGCACGAGAATAATCATTGAAGAAGTTAGTCCAGGTAGCTAGCTACTTCTGACTATCTCCAGGAAAGCAGGAGTTTCACGTTAAATGAGCTCTCAACAACTGGAAGAAAAGAACAGAAAGGATTTCAGGGCAGGGAAGCTGACTGCTTGAGTCTTGATCTAAACTGATTTACAACTGAAAAATGCGGATGCCTCATTAAAAACCAGAAAAGTCTAAGAAAGTTACCAGTGAGATTCTGACAGCTTCCAGAGTCAGCCAGGGAATCTGTCCCAGCCCATTAGTATACCAAGTTTAGAAAGCAAGGCCCTGGAAAGGCTCCCCAGGAGATGCCCCAGGGAGTTGGCTTGAATAGCCAAACGATTCTTGAAAAAGGGAGACTTTGTTCAGGGATAAAGTGGTGAAGTTGAGAAATATGGGATATTAGGTCACTTGCCCAACTAAAGCAGACTCAGCAAATCCAGACTTCATGTCAATAAGTTGTTTTCTTTCCCCCTTTTTCTTTTTAAAACTTATCTATTTGTTTGTTGGCAGTTCAGGAGAGTGAGCCTGGGGCCCTGTGTGCTAGGCAAACTGCCACTGTGCTATGTCTCTTTTCTTTTTATTTTGAGACTGTTGCTAAATTGCCCCAGTTGTTCCAGCTCCTACCTCAGCCTCCCAAGTAGCTGGAATCACAGCCTGCACCACTAGCCCTGCCATTTGAATCGTGTATGTGCATGCACACACGTTCAGACGTATAGATTTGGGCAATGGATGGCCACAGTGTGTATGTGGAGGTCAAAGGACCAGCCTTAGGTGTTTCCACTTTTCACCTTGTTTGCGACCAGAGCTCTCTTCAGCTTCCAGGGAGTCTCCTGTCTCCATCTCTGGCTTGCCTATAGCAGGGCCGGGGTTACAGGCGCCCATACTACCTGTCTTACTTTCTACATGGACTTGGGATTTGAACTCAGGTCCTCATGCTTCCACAGCAAATACTTCTACCCACTAAGCCATATCCTTAGCCCTTGTGTTTGTTTGCTTGTTTGTTCTTTGTGACAAGGTCTTACTCTGTGGCCCAGACTGACCTCAAATTTATGGCAATCCTCCTGCTTAAGAACCCCAAATGCTGGGATTACAGGCATGAGCCAGTATGCCTGGGTTGGATTTCTTTTAATAAATATAATTTCAGAGGTAGACGTGATGGCACAGGCCTGTAATCCCAGCCCTTGGGAGGTTAAGGCTGAAGAATCTTAATCACTACATAGCCTGGGCTATGCAGTGAGATCCCACCTCAAAAACACAACAGCAATAACAACAACCAAAACAAAAAAATATATATATAATTTCAGAAAGAGTTGCAAAGTCTTTGTCCTTCTAATTTGTTCTGCTAGATTTAGCCTACCATGTTGTCAGATAATGTTAAAATTCATTACAAATCTCCAACACAGCCCTGCTCTTTGTTTTATACAAAAGCTTCTGGGTCAATATGTGCTCTCTAAAGCAAGAACAGCACGGACTGTTGAATTATTCTTGTTACATCTGTTGTGACTGTCCAGAGAAAGCCATTTTATCAGTACACAAAATCCAACAGCTCGATGTTAAAAGAAAACATAAGAAACAACCTGCCCATGATAGAGAATCTGAGTCAGAGTCTTCCCAGCCATGGGGTAAACATACTGATAGAGGTTTTTCTTTCCTCAAGGCTGAAAATAGGAAGTCATTCTTAGATGTCATTTTGTTTTGTTCTCATTCTCCCCCTCCCCTGTTGTCCTCTTCTATCCCTCCCACCCCCAACCCCCCACCAAGAGTTTTTATTTTGAAGCAATCTTAATGAGCGGGTTCTTTTCTTATTAACATCTTCAAAGTGCTTTGAGCTCCTCCCCAGATGAAAGGTCCTGTGTAGGGACAAATTATTATTATGCTTACAAAATACACACACTGAATGAAGGAAAAGTGCCCAGCCTGCAATATGCTTGGGACACTTTGATCTGCCAAGGCAGCCATCAATTATTCCGTACCCTTACTCTCTAAATGCAGGCATCAAAGCATTCTCATAGATGCACCTTGTAAATCTAGCTGTTTATTCTGAAATAGTGCCTCTAAATTAACCCTTGTTTCCTTTTCCTGTGCTGGAAGCTGCTGATTCAGCCCGTCCCAACCCCCACTGGAGAGAAGGTATATACAACATGACCTGGGAAATGTATACAGTAAGTGAAAAAAGTATTTATTATATAATACAAAAATATACAAAGCATCATAAGAATTATAAGATTCAACAGTTGCTAATAACAACATATGACTATGTCTCACTTACCTGATTGCTTACCCAACATGATGAATCTTTTTTTAAAAAAAAAATTAGGGGACTAGAGAGATGGCTTAGTGTTAAGAGTACTGACTACTCTTGCAGAGGACCTGAGTTCAGGTTCCCAGCACCCACCACTCTTCTGGCTTCCGTGGGCATTGCACACCCTGGTGTACCTACATACATACAGGCAAAACACTTATGCACATAAAATAAGTAACTAAATAAATAAAATTTAAATCACGTTCTTAAAAAATCCTCCAAGCTTGTATGTTTTCTTTATTTTTTAAAGATTTATTTATTTTATTTTATATGTATGAGTGTTTTGTTTTGTTTGTTTGGTTTGATTTTCTGACACAGTGTAGCCCTGACTGGCCTAGAACTCACTATGTAGAACAGACTGGCGTCGAACTCACAGAGCTCTGCCTGCCTCTGCCTTCCAAATGCTAGGACTAAAAGCGTGTGTCTCTACACCCAGAATGGATGAATATTTTGCCTGCGTGTATGTAAGTTTACCATGCATATGCAATGCCTGAGGAGGGCGTCAGATCCCCTAGAACTGCAGCTACATATGGTTATTAGCTACCATGCTGGTGCTGGGAACTGAATCTAGGTCCAGTGCTCTTAACTGCTAAGCCATCTCCCCAGTCCCAAAATTTTTAATTACATTCATTTATTTTATGTGTGTGTATGTGCCTCTGTGTGTATGCATATAGGCACATGTCTGTCATGGCACATGTGTAGAGGTCAGAGGTTAACTTTTGTGAGTCAGTTCTCTCCTTCCACTCTGTGGGTCCAAGTTATCAAACTGAGGTCATCAGAATTAGTGGCAAATGCCTTTACTCACTGAGCCATCTTGATGGCCCTATATGATGTATATAATGTGTATGAGTGTTTCGCCTGCAGGTATGTAAGTGCACCCGTGTCATGAAAGCCACCAGAGGCCAGAAGAGGGTGTTGGATCCCCTGGAACTGGAGTTATGAACAGTTGTTAGTTGCCATGAAGGTGCTGGAAATCGAACCCGGGTCCTGTGGAGGGGCAGACAATGCTCTTAACTGCTGAGCCACCTCTCCAGCCCTCTATATGATATATTTTAATCTTCACTATG